AAAATAAAATAAAATAAAATAAATAGCTGTTGAATTGAATCTACACACACTGCCTGCAAGGGTAGAATTGAACTTACTCCCACCACTCCTAAGGGTTAAAAAAAAAAGTCAAATTAAAATCATACCTTAAAAATAAATATAAGAATTTCAAATAAAATAAAAAAATATTTGGAAACGAAAGGATAAGTAATGATTTCGAATGCCTCCAATTGAAGGCAAACAACAAGGACCACATTACCATCATACCCAGACACCAAAATTAAAAGCTCTGATAATGATAATTTCAGAAACAAGAGACACATTAAATTAATTCATTTCTTTAATGATATATATAATGATCATTCAATAAATATGTTTCATGACAGATAACAACCAAGTGTTCTTCACCAAATGTGCCCAGTAAATATTAAAGACTTCGAATCTGTAAAAAACGGGGAAAAACGGGTGAGGTTCCGCGCAGATAAAGCGCACCAAAGAAAATGAAAGTCTAGATGAAGCCCAAGTGAGGTTCTATCTCAAAACTAATTGGTGGAAGGAGAAGTAGTTCATTAAAGTTATAAATTAGGCATATTTTCCTATATAAACGATGTGGGAGAACTCATATATAATATTCTAACACGTTCCTTCACTTATGAATCTTTAATAAAAAAGCCCAAGCTCATATACAGAGTTGGGCGCCCAAGCCCTATTAAACCAGACTCCCATAAACGGGCATGTGGAGAGAACGGATATGTCATCGCACGGTCCCAATAAAATCTTGCTCTGATAAATTCAAGTAGCCTACAAATTTTATTTCAAATTTGTTCCTCAATTGACTTTGTCGCGCAAAACGGGAAACTTAAATGGAATCGTTAGATTAACAACATATCTGAACCGTCGGATTAACAAAGTGCTCACACACTTGTTTGTGTGCGCACATGATCTGACGGTTCAGACTTCGGTGTGGGCAGTAGGGTCGAATCTTTGTGTAAAATCGAGAAATAACTGCCCCTCTTATTTATTTATGTATTTAGTAGAAAAAAAGTAGACATGGTCTACTTTAAAGTCCACCACCATATTCACATAAAAAGTATTATTTATATTTTCAATTTAAAATGAAAGGACGAGAACAAAATTTCATCTACATATTTATATGAAAAAATAGCAGAGCTAACCAGGCATTCGATTTCTCTAAATCAAACTCTAATTTATTTATTTATTTTTTTTTTTTGGGGGGCCAAGGCTGAAATATTATCCTGAACCAATCTCATGCTGCTAAAGCATGTCTTTAAAATAAAAATTAAAA